CAGGGAGCAGGCATTTCTTTCTGGACCTTCTCCAAGAAGCCAGGCTTCTGAGCAAGGCTGCCTTGTTTTAAAGGGCACTGTCTTGAGAACTGCTCAGAGGGGATTCCAGTTATGGCTTTCCCAAGTGCCAGGCTTTGGCTCTTCCTACTGCCCTGATGCAGAGAGGAAAAGTGACCAGCCTAAGGACAAACCACAGGTGACTAGAACTTATTACTGGTACATCTTTGGGCAAATTCCTTAACCTCTCTGAGTCCAGTGTTCCTATCTGTAAAGTGGGTGTAAAATTGTGTGTATATGTGTGTACCTGGAAGATTCCATACTAAAGTATTAAAAGGTATTTCAGTGTGAAGCTATTATGGGTGATTTTCATTTTTTATTTTAGTTTATCTGTATATTCTAATTTGTTGTTTTATAATGAATATGTATTATTTTTTAATAGTTTTACTGCATAGGGTTGTTGTGAGGATTAAAGGAGATAATGAAAAACACAGCAGTATTTCTACTTTGCAGTGTGCTCTCCATAACTGTGAATTCTCCCTGCTCACCGTTCTCCTATACTTTCCTTTCCTTTCCTTCTGGTGTGAGTGACTCTGGCCCCCAAGCCTCAGTTGGAGAGGAATGAGGAGGTGGTACACGACTCTGATTTTAGCTACTGGCTGTGTAGCTTTGGGTAAGTCATTTAACCTCCTGGAGTCTCAGCTACCTTGTCTGCAAAATGGGAAGAATAACACCTACCTCAAAGGAAGTTTTCAAGGGCTATATGACATACAAGATGGGAAACTATCTGGCTCATAGTAGATCTGCAATAAGGGTCTGCAGGAAGAAACATGATGTACATGATGAAGGAACAAGCATTGGAGTAGGAGCTAGACCAGAATAGGTAGAAGATTTTAGCATAGATTCTACAGAGCCCAAGAGGTCCATGGATAGAGTTCACGGTGGGGGTGAAGGGTGAGGGTGGGGACCATGAACTTGGATAGAAAAAAATTACATCCTTGTTTTCACTAACCTCTAACTAAAATTTAGCATTTCCTTCTATCATACATATAATCAACAAATCACAGCAGTATTAGCAGTACCTGTGACTTTGTCACCAATAGGTATCGGATATTTCTGTATTGAATTACAGTAGTGATGTCTTAAAATACTATTTGTACTCATTCACCACCTCGAAATTATAATAGGTAACAGAACAATTTCTAGATCTTGTTATTTAATGTGTTTAAAAAGAACTAAATCACAAAATAAATATTTTGGTAATGATTCTGTATAATTGGTTTCCTTTGTATTCCAAAGTAATATACTTTTTTTAAAAATATATGTTTTTATTGATTTCAGAGAGGAAGGGAGAGGGAGAGATAGAAGCATCAATGATGAGAGAGAGTCACTGATCAGCTGCCTCCTGCACACCCTGCTCAGGATCGAGCCTGCAATCCCGGCATGTGCCCTGACTGGGAATCAAACCTTGATCTCCTGGATCACAGGTTGATGCTCAAACACTGAGCCATGCCGGCTGGGCAAAGTAATTGACTTTTTATAGTTAAAAATATTCTTCTGAATAGAGGTTCATAATCTTCATCAGACTGCCAAAGGGGACCCTTGGCTAGACAGACATGGGTACCAGTCCTGCCTGTACTAGTCCTGCCTGGGCCATCAACTACTGTGTGACACTGGGCTTGTTATGTCTCTCAGAGGCACAATCATCCTAGCTTGACTCACCCACAGGGTTGTTGGGAGGAACAAATTAATTCTTGGCTGGAAAAGGACTCTGAAAACTGTTCACAGCTTCCCCATTTTACCTAAAGCCACAGCAGAGTGCTTTCTACTTCCCAGTTGAACCCCATGTCTCCAGGAGCAATCTCTCCCTTCTACCGGATTCCACTCCACCCCTTTACTCTCCATCTAATAAATAAAAGGCCAAAATGCACCTCCATTAGAGTACACCATCCAGCTCCAAGTTTCCAGAGCTCTCTATCTGGAAAAAGATTTTCTGAGGGATAATAACAGTTCCCTCCAATTTTCATATTTGACCTTAGAGTGACTCTTGAGGACACTACCCCCTTAAAACCTTTCTTTGGTCCTTCGGATGGTGACCCCTCTGTGGCCACGGTCCCTGCATTTTCCCTTTCACTGCCCTGTCCTGTGATGTCGGTCTGACTCCCCCACCATACTATGTGTTTCTCAAGGGCAGACCCAGACCCAACCCTTTTCAGGGGCTCCAGTGCCCAGGTCAGAGGCATGTCATACATTAGCATCTTAGGAGCTGGCCTAGATGAAGAAAGGAACTTGAAGCACAAAGAAAAAAAGCAAAGGAGGGGTCAAGCTAGGGCTTGAGCCCAGATCCCCTGACGCTCATGATTTATCCCACACATACCCAAAGCAAGGGATGGAGGATTGGGGAGTCCCAAGGCATCACATTATTTCCTATGCTAGCCACTACTGTGAAAAATGAGAGCTACAAATGAGGACAGCCCATCTGCACAATGGGAGGTGTCAGATTCAGTGGCTTTAAACCTTTTGACCTGACTCAGAGTAAAAAATGCATTTTTCATAGCATTAGTATCTGCCATGTACTTTTTCTATTCCATTTAATGATTGCTATTTTTAATGATAGCTGTGACTCAAAAACTGATTACATGGCCCTTGGGTCCTTTTCAGCCCCGGTACCCAGTGATTGGCTGAAAGGGAATTATTCACATAATGAATGGGACAATTAAAGCTCAGAAGTCCCTAGTTCTGGCTCAGTGTGTTTCTGCCAAACTGCACACCTCTCAGATGCTTGGTTTCCCCAATGCACCCTGAGAGGACAGAAAATCTCTAAGGGCTTCATATAGGCCTTTGGATTGTGGTCCTCTGATCCTAGTGAGAACATTGCCCCTGTGAACTGGAAATAATTTCTGAGAATGGAGAGGTGTACTGGCTTTGCTTCCTGGTGAGTGGGGTTACCATCTGGGACATTCATTAGCCTCTTTGCCCTAGGCCAGTGTGGACAGGGTGTGAACAGGGGAGTATGTCAGTGCATGAGTTAGAGGATGAGGGCATTTAAACGTCCACTGGTAGAGAAGCGCTGTGAGAGCAAGGCCTTGGGAAGGACAGACCCAGGTTAAAATCCCACAGGCCTGAGGGCCAGGGGAAAACGACTTCTCTCTGACCCTTAGCTCTCATTTATAAAACGGGTTTGAAAATCCCTTGTCCTCTGGGTTGTTGCGACGGTTAAGTGAGGCCCCGTGTTAATCATCCCATACTCACCCTACTGTGTGTGGTCGCTTGCCTGCGTCCTGCACTAGCCTGGCGCTGCCCTGAGGTTGCCGGCACAGTGCCCGGCACCCGGCAGCGCTCAGTGCAGATGTGGAATCCACGCTTTAGTTCCCGCCCTGCCACCCAGGACACGCGTTGTTTCTTTGAGCTTCCAGCACCCTCGTGCAAACGCTGGGAACGCAGCGGGGCGGGTGGGGGCAGAGCCGGCAGGGAACGGCGCGCAGGCAGCTCTCCCGCGCTCCCTCCGCCCAGCTCCGCGGGTCGCCCCCCAACCCGCGACCGCGCTCGGACGCCGGCTCCCGCCCCCTTCCCGCCGCTCTCCACTCCCACCGCTCCCTGGTTCTCCTCCCACTTCTCTCCCGCCTCCACCCCCCGCTCCGGCCGCGCCCGGGCCGCGTACCTGGCGCGCTCTCCGGGTCCTCGGGGATTCTAGGTCTCCGAGCGCTGCGTCTCCGCGCCTCTCGCCTCGTCTTCCTTCGGTCTCTGTGTGTCTCCCTGCTTGTCTCTGCCTCCCTCTGTCTCTGTCTCTATCTCTCTAGAGCTCAGTTTTGTCTCCGCTCGTGTCCTCCTCTCGCCGGCCGTCTGGCGGC